GTCAGTGAACTTCAGACCAAGCACGGATAGCTTGTAAAAACTGTTAATAGGGGTGTGCAAAGCTTTGGTCACTGATTCAATTCAGAGGAGATTCGGCCCAATTTGGTGGCCAAATCTCCAAATCCGAATCAAATCAGGAGACCCATTAATCTCTCCAAATTGAATCGGAAGTCTCCAAATCAACTCAGATAGAGTCGGAGAGATCCAATAGTTCAGCCATAGACACAGCTTTATATGTTTTTTCTACATACCTTGAGGTACCGGGCATGGCTCATGAACACTGAGATGGTGGGGCAGATGGAGTGTCCCGTGGGAGCACAGGGGGGTCCCCCACGCACTTGGTGGAGGACCCCGCCCCCTGGCTCGGTAGCTGGTGGCACCCAGGGTCCCCCCGTGGCTGATCGCTGAGCTGGGGAGGGGTCCCCTGCATGCTTAGTGGTGGACCTGGAAGTGGACCAGAAGTACTTCTGGTCCACTTCTGGGTCTGCTGCCAAGCGCACGGGGTCCCCCCGTGCTCCCATGGGATGCTCCATCCACCCCACCATCTTGGCATTCATGAGCTGGGCCCAGGACCTCGAGGTACATAAAAAAACATATAAAGCTGTGTCTATGGCCGAATCGCTGATTCTCTGAATCAGAATCAAATCTTCAGATTCCGATTTGGCCAAATCAAATCAGGACAGTGATCCGAATCAGCGAATCAAATCGCTGTCCCCTGAATCGGGCCAAATCCAAATCGAATACTGCCCACGACACCCCCCCCTAACTGTTAACTATCCCAGGAGATGTACTGCTTTCCTTGACATAGCAGACAGTGTGAATGTTCTAAAGAGAGCATAGCATGCTTCCAGCAGCAGCTGGGGAACACTTACCAACTTCCTAACAATGGGAAGCCATTGGAAGTCCCATGAAGAAAGTTTGCATATAAATATCCTGGAACTTAGAGCAATTTGTCCAGCTCTCAGATCTTTCCCATCTCACATGAATTGAAAGAAGCTAAGGTCCCCAGGGACCATATAACAGAGATGTATTGTTTCATTGAACCAAAGGAGCGGGGCACTCCTGATCAGGCAAAGAAATAGTCAAGGGATTCATGCATCCAAATGACATCTCCCTTGTGGCCAAGAGACATCATTAGCAAGGAATAAAGTGATAAACCATTCCTTCAGCCACTGGGGATTTCTCTAGCTGGCTCTCTTTGCTGCTAGACACAATCTTGAAGTGTCACCTGTTTTGCCTAAGAGCAGAAAAGGAAACAGCTTACACATATCAGAAGCCTTTCTCCTGTACTCAGGAGAAGACTTGCCCCATTCTTTCTCCATAACCCAGAAGATAAGATGGGACAAGGCCAAAGTAATTGGAGTTACACAGACCTTCTGTAGCTCTCTAAAGAAGCTTAAACTTTTCTCAGTATTACTAGATTTCCTGTCCTGAAAGCATGGCAGATTCTGTAGTCCACATCTCACTGCATGAGCTGTAGGAGGCAAAGTCCAGGTCTACACAAGATATTTGATATACCCTGGGACAGCATCTTCAAACACACTACACTATTCTGGGCAGGCTGCTTCATAAACGAGAAGCAGTGCAATGGCATCCAGGTGATGCTTTGGGGAAAGTGACAGCAGGGTGATCATTAACAGTGCTGAGTGACAGCATGGATCAGGGTGCCTAAACTAATTACCCAGCCTATCATGATAAACAGACACAGCTACACTATTTCCAGTTTCTGAAGTAGGGCAGCATGCTTGAGAACGCCACTCTAGGGAGTATGGTAAATTTACTGTGTACAGAAGGCCTAAAACAGGGGTAGCCAACCTGTGGCATGTATGCCACAAGTGGTACGGGCAGATTCTGTGTGTGGCATGTGGCAGATTGGGAAAGGGACAGGCAGCACAGTGGCAGAAAGGGCATGGAGCAGAAAACAGAGCGGCAGATAAAAAGGGGGAGCCAAGGGTTCAGGGCCACCTTGTGGTGTGCCTTCCAAAAAAGATTGGTCCCAACTGACCTCAAAGATCTTGAAAGATCTTGCAGCAAGCATTGCTTAACTCTAAAAACAAAAAAACCAAAACAGCTGTCAGCTAGAACTTACATGAGCTGGATTTGTAAAGTGGATGCAAGAATAACTTTCTCTGCCTTTTGTTAGCACCAGTCATTGTTCATTTGAGAGCAGTTGGCATCCTTTCAATATGTTTCAATCAAAGATCTGCAGGACTGCCACGTGGAGATCTGCAAGTATTTCACAAAACATTACTCATTGAACCTAGTGTCTTAGATCAGCTGCTTGATTTGGCAAGCAGTATATTAGTCTCTGCTTAATTAGGTCCCCATGATAAAGGATGATGGCAATATGTAGAAGACAGAAAAAAGAAAAAAAGGGTTACTGACATGTAACCTGAAGTTCTTTGGATGGACTCTGTATATTCACACTTCCGACCCACCTTCTTCTGTTTCTCAGAGCCCTTATAAAATCAGTCTGAGATTCAGTGGAGACTCAATTCCCTTATAGCCTTACCATCACGGTAATTTGGAACAGCGAGGGTCTGCCATCAGAGGGGCATGATTACTTCAAGGACACTGTTCTTAAAAGATTAATCCACCTCAGTTACATTGGTATGGTCTCTGAGTTAGAATATGTTGGGTCCATCTTGAAGAACTCTTAATTTCAGGTAAGTATTCTTCACCCTTTTGTTTAGAAGGAAACAAATTCAACTGACTTATAATGCTGCAGAGAGGTTTCCTCTGCTCCAAGGGTACAAATGTAAGCAATGTGGCTGCATACTTTGTATGGGACTGTAACACGGTTCTCCTTCACTTTAGTACTTGAGTAAGAAAGGTTATTACTTAATGCAGCCAAAGTTATTAGACCTGTATGACCAGTAATTTGATCCAGCAGAAAGATCCTCTATTCCTGTTACGGGCTATTTCTGCAAATGCTAAAGTGGAAATATATTTCTTCCCATGGAGCCTTCCAGCTGTTCAATTTTCAGAGATACATTTCATAACGTCAGTGCTTCCATAGCCAAATCTGTTGCAAGAATATGTGGCAGTTCACAGTTTCAGACACCATGAATATATTATAACATTTCACTTCGGAACATGTGAGGTAATAAAGCTCATGTCTCGTACAATGTAGGGATCGCCGCAGAATTTTTGAGGGGGCTAAAAAGGAGAGGTCTGCTAGCAAGCAGAGGTTTGTTACAACTGACTCTTCTACCTGTCTGTTACCCTTTTCCTAGGAGTAATCTTAAGTACCATGAAGAGAAAAACCACTTCCTGCAGGCTTATTATAATCTTGCTTAGGAGAAGAGATAACAGCTGGTTCTGCAGCAATCGGTTCTAAATATGGAGCAAACAACTTTATCTCCATTTCACACTTCGAAACACACTTTGAGCAGTAAGCAAAGCTATGTTTTCTCAGCCCTGCATACAACTAATTGTCTTATTAAGGCAGAAAAGAAGGCTTATCTGATTACCAGGAAGATATTAAGTTGCCCTTATTACTGGGACAACACCATTTCATATTATCAAAAGAAAACCCCATCCTTGGTGTCAAGCGTATCTACCTCAAAACCTGGAGCCTCAACAGAACCTCTGTGATTGTGAAGCAGTTCAAAAGAGTATAGTGGAAAGATGTTTACACCCTGTGGTGTGGCGAGGCATTTCTAGTCTAGGGCTAGAGTTTCAAAATAATATTTTATTGCTCCTTTGTTGTAATACTGTATATAGGTCTCAAACTATAGTATTAATGGCCAGCACAACTAACCCAAAGACCTTTCTTCCTGAGTAGATTCTAGGTAACAAATTTGGGGTAAGGAAGCAAAATGAAGTGAAGGGTAATGAAAGGTAAAAGCCTTGAAACCACTCTCCAATCAAATGGCTGTAGTTTATTTTGGTTTTATGTTACTCATGGAATCTCTTTTACAATTTGTGTTAAACTATTGTTCTTTGTTTTGCTTTTCCTCTCTACATGGAGTTAATGATATTTAATTGCATTTAACTACACTTTTTTCTGAAAGTGGAAAGTTAATATTCAGAGCAGATGTTCATGCCTTCTGTCAAAGGGCAGCACAAAGTAGACAGATTCTTCTTCTGCAGCCTCGATATTACCTGCTCTCTCTTTTTTAAGGAAAGAATCAATTCTTGTATTGATTCCTCAACTTGCAAACTCTTGAATAATTTCTGATATTAATGTTAGGCAATAATTGTGGCTCAGTACAGGCATTCAAGAAGGCTGAAATGGAAGCGCTCTAACTTTTAAGCTTTACTCTAAGTGCCCAAGGTTACGACCAGACCAAATACAACAAACATTAGCAATTCTGTGGGGCAGGGCTTGGAGTCTGTCTGCTCAGGTTAAGCCCAGCAGGAAGGGGGGCTCTCGTACACCTCCCAAATTGCCCTGCAGGCTCCCTGAGCTGTCAAAGACTCCTGAGCAAAGCTGAGTGGCTGACACAACCAGTGTTTGGCTGCTGGGCACGAGCCACCACACCACCAAGTCCCTGCTGTTATGACACCTTGGTTCTGTGTGTGCGTGCATGTATGGGACACTTGGGTTCCATGTGTGCATGTGCGTGTTTGTCCTGAATACCTGGATTCTGTGTGTGCATGGGTGTGCACCAGGGTCCTGGATGCCTGGGTTGCGTGTGTGCATGCATGCGTATGTGCATGTGTGCACACATGTCTTGTATGCCTGGGTTTTGTGTGTGTATCATCTGGGTTCCGTGTGTGTGCATGTGCACCCCAGACACCTAGGTTGTGTATGTGTGTGTGTGTGTGTGTGTGTGTGCGCGCGCGCATCCATGCGTGCCCTGGGTACCTGGGTTCTGTGAGTGTGTGTATGTGTATGTGTGTGCACATGCCCTGGATGCCTAGACTCTGTGTGTGTATGTGTGTTTGTGGGACACCTGTGTTCTGTTTGTGTGTGTGTGTGTGTGTGTGTGTGTGTGTGTGTGTGTGTGTGTGTGTAACAGGACACTGGGAGGTGCCTGCTCATTTAAGAAAGCAAGCAGCCTGATAGATTGCTTACAGGTGGCAAAGGGGAGCTAATGAGGGGCCCAACTGACTGAAGATGGCTCAGACTGGAGCTATAGACGCCCAGAGTCTGCACCTGTCACTAGTCTCTTCCCAGCCGCCCTGCAGGGAGGAGCTGCTGGCTGCAAGGCAGCTGTGTTGCATTGATGGTACCTGGTTTCTGGTGTGTCACAGGGCAACTGTGGAGAAAAGACCCTGAGGGGCCAAGGGGGAACCCCAGGACCCTAAACACAACAAGGAAGGTGAGGGAAGGAAAAGAGCAATGGAGATTCCCTTACCTGCAGCTGACGATGCGGTGAGACCAGAAGAGGCGGCGGGACCTGCGCGGCTGATTAGCCGCATCTTTTTGAAACTGCAGCCAGCTGTGGGGAATAACGAGCAGAGCCAGTGCGGGAAAATAAAAGACAGCCTGGGTGAAGGAGAAGGGGGGAGAGCCAGAGAGGAGCCACCAGAGGAGGTGCCCTTGGAGCCCCGATCGGGGCGAGGAGAATTCAGGCGACCCTCCACGAGACAAGAGGCTGCACCTGAAGCTGTCTGAGGGAAGACACCAGCAGTGAGGCAGCAGATGCTCTCATTCTCGGCGACGGAGCCAAGGGAGAAAATCCAAGGACTCCGAAGGAAGAAGCCGACAGCAGAGATGGCCCTGAAGACAGGGTAACAGGAATCAACCCAGCAGTCCAGGTGGGATTGGCTCGGGTTTGGGAAGGCTCCCAGAGTCCTCCCCGGCGGGGGACAGAGAGCCTAAGCAGCGGGAAGGGCTGCATGAAACAAGCTCATACCAGTCTGAGCCGCTCGGCGAGGGACAGGGTGGGGTTGAATCAGAGGGACCCACAGTAGCCCAGTTCGTCACTAAAGAGGGATATCGGCCGGACAGAGTGGGGTTGAATTGTGGGGGGGCTTGCAGTGGTCCGATCCGGCACTCAGGAGGGATATTAACCGGACAGAGGGGTGCCTTGTACAGGGCTGATAGGGAGAGGAATTCTCTGGGCCAAGGAGCCTATTTTTGGTTTGAGGCCAGGGAATTTACTGGTAGTGCTTTTCTTAATTTCATTGTTCTGTTTCTGAGGGGTAGGAAGGAAGGCTGGAGAGGGTCCCATACTCGGCTCGAGTCAGGGTCAGGGTAGAGCCTTATATCTGCAGGAGATTGCCTATTACATCAAGAGGCGAGGGTCGGGCCCGGAGACATCTGCAACTCAGCGAGGCTGGGTATCAGAGCGAGGTGTAGGGGAGGTTGGAGCCTCGCAGAAGACCATTGCCCCAGGATTCTTGACTTCGGATATGCCCTGGCAGTCGACCCCCCACCACTGAAAGAACAAACAAAGTCATGGCAGGTGAGATTGGGGTGAAGACTACCCCGGCGCAATACATCCAGACGGTATAACCTACGGGATGGAGCAGCGAGCAATCTTACACACCCAAAGCCGGGCAGCACGGGACTGGATGTTTGAAGCCTGTCGGGTGCATGGTGGAGGACTCTGCAGACCTGGGAACTGAGGCAGGTTTCCTGGGTTATGAAAGAGCAGGCTCTTACAAGCATGCACGCTTGGTTTTGTTAACTTCAGAAGGTTGAGGCACCCACTAGACGGTCCAAGAGCTCAAGAGGGCCGAGTATATAGGTTAAGGAATAGCCCCAGGTGGGAAGTTATGCCCGTGAGAAGGTGAAGAAAATGTCCTCTTAAAGGGGCAGAGAGAGCTATTTCTGCTGTTGTTGTGATTCTCTTATAGCCCAGGGGCTTACAGTTTTGTTACCATTTACACCGGTGGTTTGGGCTGTTACTATAAGGGGTGGTTTGGGAGGTCCCATTAGTCCCTGTGTGGCAAACAATTGCCTTGAGCCCTAATCAGGGGCAGGTTTAAGGCCTGAGCTATTGTTGAGTCCAGTGAGGGGGCAGTGCAAGATTACAGCATAGATGAGGGCCAGGGGCCCAGTGCCCGGGAGGGACACAGTGAGACATGGAGCTAGGGGCCTGGCATCAGAGAAGCACAGTCATGGTGGGTCAGGAGCCTAGCAGACAGAGGCCAGAGGCTTGGAGACTAAAGGCGATAGAATGAAGCTAGTGTCTCAAAGCCAGGTCTGACAAAGAGCCTAGGAAGAAAGGCCTAGTGAGAGCAAAAGGGGCGGAAGCTGGGGAGGCTAAGGCCCCAGCACAGGGGACAACATCACTGTAACACCTGCGAGGCTTGGGGCATGGTGTAGGGGAGGAAAAGGACCCACGCAACTCACCCCTCAGGCTACAGGGGCCTAGTTAAGCCTAGAGGGAAACTATTAGGATTGGGGCTCACTCTGAGGCCTGTTGGTAGCCTCCTTTAATCACTCTTTAATAGTAAGGTCAAGGCAAGGTGGGCGAGTGAACTAGAGGGAGAGGCCATAGAGTCTGAGCTGGACAGGAGCTGCAGTTCTACTAGGAGGTGTCACAGCTGCTCCAGTGGGTTTGCAACGTGTTACAATGTGCATGCATGCATGCAGGCCTTGCATGCCTGAGTTGTGTGTGAGTGTGCATGTGTCCTGGATGCCTGGGTTGCATGTGTGTTTGTGTTCTGTCTGTCCCAGATGCCTGTATTCCCCTACTCTAATGTTGGTGGCCCCAGCCCTGCACAGAAGGAGGCTGTCCAGATCCATGAAGTCCTAGCCAACTAACTCCTCACTGGCATAGACTGGGAGCCTTCCCCAGATGAATGGAGCTGGAGGCCTTTGAGTGCCCCTGCGTTGGCACTAGGCTATGGGTCTCCAGCCCCAGGCTCCTCTGGCTCTGCATCCCAGGCAGTGCTGCCCATAACCCAGTCTGCCCAAGCACTATCCCCTTTCCCCTCTCCTTTCCCACTGTGCAGGAATGAGGAATGAGGGAGAGACATGCTTTGCTTTAAAATGTTGTGGTTGCCAAACTTTAACTTACGTTTAATAAGGAAAACCTGTTGAATATTGCCCATGTCTCAATCTGGTCCCTCCTCCCAATTAACATGAAACAGCAAACCTTTGGAGGGAGCAGGGAGGGTTGAAAAAGGGGCAACAGAACCTAAAAGAGGGTTTGGGGTCAGGGGTAATGCCACTGACCCAAGAATTCAAAAAACATGAAACCTTGGAGGGGAGGCACGGGGTAAGGGGGTTTTGACCTGGTACAATACTTTCAGGAGTTTGAAGTCAAGACCTGGGACTTTTCTATGTAGGAGCTGGAGAGCTGTGTGATTCCATGACCTAATGTCTGTCTGAGGGGGAGGGGGTCTGGAATCATCACTGGGGCCATGTCACCCCCTTTGATGGACACATGGCCTTCACCACACCTGAGGGTCATGTCAGGCAGCTGACCCAAGTCAGGGACTGCCTGTCTCCCCAAGGCTGTGCCACTGCTCTGGAGCAGGACCTGGGCCAGGAGTGGGACCACAGGGAGCAGAAGAGCTCCCATGATGCGGAGGGGAGGGGAGGGACAACTAGGCCCACTAGGCTCTACTGGCAGAAGCTGCCCCAGTGACCAACTTTTTATTTATTTTTTTTAGGTTTTTTTTTATTTTTAAGGAAAAAATGTTCATGTTCCAAGTCAAACCAGCCAAATCAATTCCAAATCCATGAGTCATTCAAGAACCATATGTGACCCTACTACCAGCAAACATCCTCTTCCCCTCCCCACTTTCTGAGCACTCTTGCACCCGTTTGGGACTGGCCTAGAACTACTTGGAATGACCACCAGCACTCGGGGATAGTGATTTGGGTCTGGAAGGAAGGTGGTGTCCCTGATGCCACCAACATTGGATCTTGGGCAGCCCAGGGCTGCTCCACTTGCCCGCCACTGCTCCCCAGAGCAAGCCCTGCTGGACACCTTCCTGCCTCCTTGGACCATGTGTCAGTGGCTCCTACATACCACATCTCCTATCCCAGCTTCCCCTTACTTCCCTGCATCTCCCAGTCAAGGCATGGTGGGGAGTGTTCCCTCTCAGCCACCATCCTGGGGTACCCCCTCCCCCCTTAAGACCCCTTTTCCTGTCCCCCAGGGAAGAGTTCCTGGAGTGGGCCTCGGGAGGGCCATGCAACTGACTATCCCAAGTATAAGCATCCCGTGACCTGTCCGTTTCCCCCATACACATCCCGATTCCTTCCTTGTCCTGGTTTCACAACCTGTGGCCCAGGAGCCTACGATGTGCATCCAGACCTCAGAGGCTGTGACTGGAGCTTGTAAAGTTGCTTCTTCATTTCACTGGTGCCTCATACACACATCTTTCCTGCACTCTGCAGATCTTCAGCAGCCAGTTCTAAACCAATCACGCCATCTGTCATGAGATGGTTTTCTGCACCAGACAAGGGGAGGCATTGCTTAGTTTTCAGGAGTTGGGGTGTGGAAGCAGATGCAGAGCCAGGATGAGGCCACAATTGGAGGAGGTGCTAAGGAGTTGCCCTGATGGGTCAATAAGTGAGTGCCTGTGCTGTGATAATCTGAATTAACGAGTGCTCATTGCACTTCACCCATGGATCAGGGAGAAGGAAAAGGAGTACTGTTGGACCTCTTGCCAACTTGTCCAGGTACGCAGGCCAGAAGTCACCCTGGCAGTGAGAGTTGAGGAGCTAAGATAACAGTCCCACGCAGGAATCCTTCCATCACATGTGTCCCTTTCCTGGAGTGGGAGAGAGGTCTAGAAGTTTTTTGAGAAGAGGTCATCTTTTGCTGCTTCCTGCTGCACCATGACTGCAGTGGTTGTCAGACATAGCTGCGTTCTATGTCCTGTCCCTGACCTGGGGGTTTTCTCTGCCAAAACTGTTGCTTATACATTTGCCTGCTGAGCTCAATAAATGCTATCCATGCCTTTCTGTGAGTGCTTTTGAGAGTGGGGGAGCTGTTTACACCTAAGTGCTTGAGGTATCTGTGCTTAGACTCTAGTCTCCCATGAGGCACATCATGGCCCTGGGAGAAATAGCAAGGGTCTGCCAATTGTGCAGGTTTATGATCCCATTGACTAGGAAATTCTCTCTTAAGCACTCAAGAGTGGAGGCAGGGAAAACTGGTGCCTTGGCTGGGCTCCAGGCCTTCAGCAAGGGAGCCAGTGCAAACCTTACTATCATGGAATAGCCGGCCCCTGTGTGGGGAACAGTGTCCTGGAGCCTCCCTGTGCCTCCTCCTCCTCTGGCAGGGTCCATTGCAGGCATCTCCTTTGGAACACCCCAGGTCATGTGGATGCGGGGGATGTCAACTGCCTTGTTCATGGCAAGGAAGCAGCACAGGTCTTTGTAAAATGGCATACTCTGCCTCTGGTCCACAGACTGCTTTCTAGCATCAAGCAGGTGGAAATATTGCCTGTTCATCAATGTGGTCTTGGTGAGACAGTGCAGCCAGTGTTTGTTGTGCCCCTCTGCATGCATCTGCTGGGCAACGTGTGTGAAGACATCTCTGATTCAATGCTCTATCTGGAGCTAGTGCTGGATGTTTTCCTTGCCCCAGATGGCGATGAGATCCTTTATTTCCCCCAACTCCCAGTTGCATATCTGGTTTTGGCTCATGGCAGTAGATGGGGTGGTACAGATTAATTGATTACAGAAATATGCTACCAGCAATCTCTGGAATCAGGGAACCCAAGGTTTCCCTGCTTCCAGTGGTGCACCCTGGAAATTGCTAGGGACATGTCTGTGGAAGCAGGGAAATCTAAGCAGGTGCTCCCAGGGCTTGAGAGGGGCTGAGCCTGTGCAGGAATTCCTGGAGTGTTCAGGTTTGGGGTCCCTCAAGCCTCAGTCCTGCCTGGGGCAATGGAAGAGTGTGGGCAGCTCCAGCTGCCCACAATCTCCCACCATAATACAAATAGATGACACAGTAAGGTGTCATGGCCCTGTTGTGATGTGACAAAAGGTATGGACATCTGTTTGCTGCTACTTTGTGCCTCCATAAAAAATGTTATAGTGGCACAAAGGCAACAGAAAGTAGCATCTGTTTTCATCCTAAAATATGCCATGTTGGGCGAAAACTATCTCCTGTATAACAAGAAAGTCTCCAGTAGGAAAAAGGTGAACTAAAACAGAATTTGGTTAACACAGTGGAATGGAAGTTCTATTATTAGTCTTTAAAAATAGGCCTTACATTATTACAAAATATCATCTCACAAAAATACATATTATGTATTGTGTTATGGTTGGAAGCTATGAATTGTACTGTGTTGCTTCCAATTACATTACTTGCTTTTTATGCATATATTTAAAAATGTAATAATTATAAGTAAAGAAAATAAATATAGTCTTTAACAGAAAAATATAAGCAACTTTTTCATAGAAAATTGGAAAAGGGCTCTTTAACTGTGATGGATGAAATAAATCTTTGCTGGTTTCATAGCATCCTGAGTCACGTCTTTCTGTTATTTGTCAAGCTTAAGCATCAGTTTAATAATTTGTTTTAACTGTGGCTTGGCTAGTTTCATTATTCTTACAGTTAGCTGGAAGCAAACTTCAGAACCACCATATGGGAAAGATTGGAACCTAATATTTCAATAGGAATTTTTCTCAGGCTACTTGTTGAAATGTATCTTGCCATTTTATGTATTTATTTATTTTTATTAATTATTTCTGACCAAAGAACAGTTGCGGTTTGTGCAGAACTGACAGAAGTTCCATCAGTAACAAAATCCAGGCTGGAAAATGCTTTAAAAGTGGATGACCAACAGGCTTATCCATGAAAGCTGATTGACCCTTACCATTAAAACTTGTGAGAGATTGATACTGATGCCCATTGATGAGAAACATTAGAATTCAGTCCCTTGGGTATCAGTATTTTGATTGGATATACCGCTCAGTATCTGGAGTTGACATAATCTACTGATAAATTTCCTACACATGGTATGCAAATGTTTATATTTTAATTCAACCAGTGTGTTGTATTATAAGAAATGTCACAAGCATGGTATTATAAATTAGCAATTCTCTCGTGTAGAAAAACAGGACACATAATGAATTTTACAAACAAACTCTCTGTATGAGAATTCTCAGTGACTGCATCTTTGCCCTGCCATAAGCTGTAGTATCTAGACCAACAACATCCTTGGATCTGGATACACTTGAGAAAATAAGCTTGATTAGGAATGGCTATTTGAGGCGGGGTGGGTATTAAGATTCATTAATGTTTTTTCTTGTTCTCTTGAATTTTTCTTCATCATCTAAATCGGGGTGGCCACACTGTGGCACTGCATGCCACATGTGGCACTGGTAGTCTTTGTGCACTGCACAGTAGATATGGGAACGGACAAGCAGCACAGTGGCAGAGGGAACTTGTACACGTGATGATGTGGGCATGTACATGTGACAAAAAGAGATGAGACATCACCATTTGATTAGCATAATAGTGCCACCATGTACACATGCATGAAGTTTTTTCATGTCAAAATTTTTTTGTGTGGCAACTTAGATCACCTCCAGTATATTTTAGTTTGGTCATGGCAAATTGTCCCATTGTAGACAAAAAAAATCTGTCATGTACATATCCGGGAAGTCAGCAGGAGGTTGGCTGGGTGCATTCTTGGCTGGAGAAGACAGCAGGGACAGTGCAGGGGGCACTGGAAACCTTGGGTGGGCTCACAGAAGCTTGGGCTTGGGGAGCTTCCAGCACTGCTTTCACCATTCCCACCACCATCTCCAGCCAGCAGCACATCCAGCCGCTCTCACGCTGCCTTTCTGCTCTGCCCCAGGGGCAAACCAAGCCATTTCTGGGCAATCCCAGGCACTGCGAAGGTGGCAGGGACAGTGCACGGGGCACTGGAAGCCCCCCAAGCTCAAGTTTCCCCGAAAACACCTGGGCTTCCAGCGCTCTGTGCACTGTTGGATTGTGAGCTGAGGCAGCACACACACAGCTAGCGCCCTTCCCAGGCAGCCCCAGGGGGCACTGCCATGGCAAAGGGAGGACTGGGCCTTCCTGCAGCCCAGGGACTGCATGACCTGGTGGCAGCTTGCACAGGCAGGATCTGCCAAGAAAAAAAAGCAGTGAGGGGCCAGATCCATTTTTTTTCTTGCAGAGCCTACCTGCCTCTACCATGGCTGGGGGTGAGCTGTCGGTGGCTCCTGAGCTGCAGGGTGTCCCCGGACCTTTCCTCCATGGCAGTTTGCCTGCCCCTCCCCCCACCCCCCAGGATGCCTGGGCAGGCTGCTAGCAGACAGGCACTGCCCAGGTGGGCTGCTAGTGGGTGGGTGCTGCCCAGGGGTTGCAACCTCTGCAGAGGGAAGGACTGGGGCCCCCCGTAGCTCAGGACCTGCCAGCAGCTCACACCCCAGCCACAGGAGTGGTGGGCAGGCTCTGCAAAAAAATAAAAAAATAAAAAGAATCAGGCCCCTTGCTGCTTTTTTTTTTCTGGCAGAGACTGCATACAGCTGAGGGAATGAGCAGCTGGCAGGTCATCACTGTTCCATAACAGTGACAGAAGCCCCTAAATTGAAATGGTGAGTTTTTAACTGTCACAATTAAAAACCCACCAAATAAAAACCCACTATTTTCAATTTAGGGGAACTAAACCCCCGGCAGGTGTACAAGCACCCAGATAGAGCAGGAAATAGAAAACAAAGTAGCACATTGGGTGGAGTGCACAAGGAAGGAATCAGAAAGCAGAGCAGAAATTCACTCTGGGAGCACAGGGCGAGGAGCCAAAAGAAGCACAGAAAATTGGGCAGGGGAAGGGGTTCAGAATGGCACTTGGGGAGGGTGCAAGGCTAATTTGTGGCACACCTGCCCCTGGTCTAGATAAAGCCTTTTTTCATCTTCTTTCCCTTCCTGGAGGCAATGAAGCTTTGGAACAAGTGTATTGCTCCATAAAAGACCAGTGGTTATTAGGGGTACTAGGCACCCATGTAAAGTGATTTTACTGCAGTTAAAGGGAGGTAGAAGTCACCAGAAATAGCCTTGATGCATGACTCAGATGAATTAATTATCCTTCTGTCTTCAATCTTAGAAGTGTAGGAAATAGAATCATAGAAAAGGCTGGAAAGGACCTCAGGAGGTCATCTAAGCCAACACCCTGTTCAGGGTAGGACCATCCCTATCCAAACCATTCCATAAACATGCTTGTCTAAACTGTTCCTAGAACTATACAATAATCTTGTCACACAACTACAAAGTACATTGCCCCAA